TATTTGCAGCGTTAAGGGCCTGTAGTTGTGTGAAATACTGCATGTCATGCCTAAATCCCTAGTGTCACTCCATTGATTTAATTTAACCCACAGGTTTGACTTTCGTATGTTCTGTACTACATGATCCACTTCTCAGTAAATCTGTTTAAAAATCCATTTCAGACTGTAGTACGTTCTGAAAATAAAAGTTTGCTAGATGGCTGATATTAAATATATAGCAGTCTGTGAGATGCCTTCTTCTGTTGCTCTTTATCTGACACTTCTTCTAGCAAAACCTCTGATTGAATCTCTTCTGTCCTGCCAGAAGAAAGAGGAGGATGGAGAAGAGTTGATCTTTTAGCAGATATGAGATGAAGCACCTGTTTCACAAAAGAATACAACTGTATGTTTGCTGCCAGCACACTATGTGCCAATTGCTTGAGTTAGGGTAAGATGGAAAGAAGGATTAGTGGGAACCTGCAGTGTGGACTTCAGAGGTTTATTTGTTCTGCTCATTCCTCTTGCCTTATCTTTTTTTCTCGTGTGTCTTCTCCTCTGCTCTATGGTAGGTTTTTGGTGCTGCTCTTGAATACAAATGCAGACAATTCCTCGTGCAACTGTAGACCCCTGGGTTTCTGGTTAATACTTTTGGGTACTAGTACAGCTCTATGGTGTGTGCTGTGTAGGTGAATTCAACTTTCCACCTGGACTCATTTTCCAGGTTGATTTTGATGGTGAACACTGTAATGCATCGACTTGGAGAGCCCTGGAGACAGGATTTTCATCCTTTTGGAGGCAACCAGTCATGTTCCTTGACATGAGCTGCTCTGTATTGCTCTGCAAGTTGAAGGGGTGAGGTGATTGCTTTTAGAAATGCTGAGGAGATTTCAGTGGGCAAGAAAAATGTATAGAGTTGTGGAATGAGAGTAGTAATTAAGGAATTATTGGATATAGCTTCTTTGAGTTTCCTAACAAATAGTTTAATAGCTTCGAAGGTAGTAGTCAAGCAAGCAGGCATCTTGCTATTGTAGATGCAGCATTGCCTCATCTATGCAGCCTAGTAAACAAAAGACAAATAGTCTGTTTTGTGCACTACTTAGTTATTTCCAGTTCTAAGTCCAGAGGAAACCCACTCTGTAATAGAAGTTGATTTTTGTAGTGGCAGCAAAACTGATTTCTAAAATACRGCTTGGTATTTACTCTTTTACATTAAATCACCAAAAGTGCTGTGRGATTTTATTCATGCTTTAAAATGCATTGGGTGAAAGTTGGAACATAAATTGAAGGTATGCCATAACTAGGTACACTAGGGATGGCAAATTTAGTACCTTTATAGGTACTAAAGGTGAACTATTCTGTTCACTTTATTAGTAGAGGGAAGGATAAGATAAGTTAGGAAAATGAGTCTAGTAAATCAGAAGTGAATTTTAGCGTTCATCATAAATAAATGAGACAAAGCCAGGTTTGGGGTTCTTAGATTTTTCTTTTTGCATTTTTGATCCTCATTTAATCATTTCATAAATCAATTAATTACTGTCAGGAAACCTGAGGGCAGCAGGAAATTGGGTTCAAATTAAAAAGAAAAGGAGGCAATTTGTTTGAAGATTGAAAGTTGACTGTTCAGTCAAAGTTTAATCAGAAGTGACCCATTATTTGAAAAGTGGAACATCAATGTCTTTCTAATTTCACAGAATGCTTCATTAAATTAGTATTGAAAAGATCAGGTTAACTGATCATTCTGAAAGGAAGATGAGTTAAAGGAGGTTTGGGAAGCCAGCTTGCAAATACATATGCTGTTCGTGTCTGTTTCTGTTCTGGAGATCTTCACAGAGAACAATCATTTAGCTGGGAATTCAAGGATTATTGGCAGGGTGTTTTATACAGCTTGTATGAACTGTGTTATAAAAAAAAAAAAAAATAAAAAGTAGCTTGCTTTGAGAAGAGCAAACTTCACTAATCCATTTGGATCGCTAGATACGCGCAGAGCAATTTACAAAAGGAATAACCAGCAAAGAGGGAGTTTGCAAACGCACRAATGGAAGTTGGGCATCCAGATCTTAGGAACTGTTTAAGCTGATAGTGGTCTAACCTTGTAAAAGGCTGTCTGTAGATGAATGCCCTCCTGAGACTATTCCATTCCATAACATGCAGCTCACTGTGCGCGTGTTGCAAAGTGCAAGTTGCTACCGAGCTGCTGGGTGGAAAGGCAAAATAAAGGGTCCATTAAGAGTCCTCCTAACCCCAAAGTCTCTCCATGCCTCTTGTGCCCTGCATCCAAGCCCTGAGATGCACCACAGTCACTGCTCCAGTGCCAGCAGGGTCCTAGGTTGACACCCACAATGGCAAGAATTTAGAAGATAATAGCAGTTACCTGAATTCTCTATGATGTTACTGTTGATGTAGAAGTGAAGTCAAATGTATTTTCTTTAGCAAATGAGTGTGGGAGAACATGAGGGGAGCAAGTGTAGCTGTAATTCCTGCTGTGGGTGAAAAACATTAAGGAATAATATACTTCTTTTTAGTGCACTTTGGATTAGCATGTCTTTTTCTTWGTGTGTATTTACTAGAAATTTGCCTCGCAAATTGCCCTTAAAGAAAAAAAGGCTCTAATGTGAGCTTGCTGAAAGAATAAATGAGGAGGCTAATTCAGTTGCTCACTGTTGGAAATTCAGTTGTTCTTGCCGTTAAACGCTGAGAGCARTCCTGAAGAGTCATCTAGACCCTAGCTCTACCAGACGCGTTTTAAGATAAAATGAGGTCTTCTTTTATTTGGAAAAGTTGTGCAGCTTTCTCTGGTGAGAATAATGTTGAATAACAGTAAAAGACAAAAGAACTAGAATACGCTTTCTGCTTTGGTAGGTTGTTATGTTGATATTTTCGATATTATGGGCCAAATTTATAGGTCAGTCTCCCACTTAGTGGGTCATTTAKGTTGTACAGCTCATTCTGAGGATAAGGTAGTTTGTGTTTCTRTTCCTTTTTGACTTCTCTTGTTTGACTTGAAGCCAACAGCGTAGTGGTTATATCTTTGGTGAACTACTGGTTTTCTTTAACCTTTGTATSGTTTGGAACCCAGCCTGTGAAAGAGCAAAGCTCAGGCACATAAAAAGAGGTTGTACACACCAGAACAAAGGAGCTAAATTGAGGGAACCAGAGAGAGAAACATTTCCTGAGGTTTAAAACAGTCGGTCCTACGGCTTGTTTTCAGTATGTGAAGAGAGAGTGGAGGGCACCCCTTACAAATCAATCCCGTTAAAGCTGAGATTGGTATTAATATTATTTTTGACCAGAACATTCTGCTCCTGCACAGCATGTCCTCTCTGAATGCAAATAACTTCATGACTGTTGAAGAGTGAGCTGAGTATCATTGCTAGGCTTTATGTGCTTAAAGAAGAGGCTTCACTACTTATTTTTGCAGGTTACGAGTCGTTTTTGGTGCATAAGGGCAGAAATATTGAAGATCAGTAAATGACAGGAGGAATGTTAGTCTCGTAGGTATGGGAAGCTGGTATTTGAAAAGGACGAGTTTCCAGAATATCGTCAATATTGTCCAACAGTTTGGAAAAAGAATCTAGCCCAGAGAAATTATTTGTCTTAAATAACAGGACTGTTTTAGCTGCASTCTGGACTTCTGTGCATTTTATTTGGAATTCAATCTGAAGAGACTCTAAATGTTTTCCAAAATGATTTTTATAGAGATGGAATCATATTATTATCCCATGATGATTTAGTCATTTCTGGGCCAGGGATGTTGAGAGCTTCTTATTGCTGCTATTACAGTTTTATATGTATTTTGATAGAGCATAAAAATTGCACACAGAATTGGGGCTCTCTCTTATTGGGTCTTACATAAAACTCCTGAACTAGCATATGTAAAATGTTACGATTATGAATCTGGCAGAATATATTCATTTCACGACTCACAATTCTCTACTTAACCTTTCTTGATGGTTACATTTCTTATATTCTTACTGTTGTTGCCTGTACAGGAGGGAAAAAAAAAAAAAGGGAAAACTTAGTGGCAGTAAGAGCCAGCAGGTGAGCTCTAGGACTAGCCTAACTTAATCTGAACCTGAATCTGCATCCTAGGGATTTTGTCAGTTTTGTTGGATAAAGGGCAAGCCCTTTACAAATCCCTGCACACCCCTCTGGTAAGTCTGAGTGTGGTTCAACGTGACATGCAAAGCATTGCACACTAAATATGAAATCCAGTAAAGGACTTTGGGATATTTTTGACTAAACACAATAATAATATACTTAGGTGCTTTTGGATTTAGTACCAAAATTAACATCAAAATGTAGGATAAGATACCTGGCAAAGAAAGACTTAGGCCTTTTAAAAGAGGATAAAAATATGATGCTGAACTTAAATGCTAACCAGAACTCAGCACAGGGTTGGAAAAGAGGAATTGGATGCACCTCTGTTTAGGTGTGCATTAAATCACAGAATTTACTTTGAAGAGTATAGGACAGCAAGTATGCAACCTGACTGGTTGCTTTCTTTTGGTAAAAGGCAAAAATCTTGAAGAAATAATACGTTTGTTACCTAGTGTTAAAAATGTGAAGGATCTGCTAAATTATGTAGATGGAATTACTGTATACAAAAGTAGGATTATTGAAGCAGATAAAAACATATATAGTGATTATTGTGTTTATGTGACTTCTGAAGACTAAATCGTAACTCATTTAATATATGTGATTATATGTGATTAATGTAAGTGATCTTGTGGCTAGAAAAGAAAGAAATCTCTGTGTTTCTTTTTCTTTTCTTCCTCTAGGCAAGATTCATTACTTCTCAGTGAAGTACAAAGACAATGGTCATTCCAGAAACAAAGYCATTAAAAGTTTTGGGGTCTTTTGCAGACTCAGAATGAGTTAATTATATCAGTGAAATAAAGTCTAATAATCAGCAAAATTTGAAATACTTTGAAGACTTTTGAATCTCTGAACAAAATCAAGTAAGCATTTGAAGAAATAAATGTGTGTGGAATCCTGATAGGTTTCTTATTTCTTTTTAACAGAATTCCAGCTTTCTCCATGAGGCTCTTTTTCCTGTACATYCAACAAAAGCTGAAGAGTTGGATCCATCTTTCAGACTGCATGAGACCATTGCTAAGGTAAAAAGAATGGAGATATGTCCCTTATATATATATACACTTTCTTTCACATGGTCACATCTGAATTTGGCTTGTAATTGTATTTGTGTAATTTTAACTATACAAGTAATTTTGACATTACTGCTTTTCCATGAGCTTTTCTTTTGTAGTTGAAAGTTGTGTGGGCTTTTCCCTTTAGACTGTGAATATTCTTTTGGGTTACTTTGGTCAACTTGCATAGTCAAAAAAAATTGKATATCTATTTTATGTGATTCTGTTTTTTGTTAACTTACATTTTGCATAACTGACATTAAGGTTGGAATTGCTTATTATATTATATGCTTAYGTTGGAATGAGTATGGGGCATTAAGCTCCTCGATAGCAGAGTGTAGCAGTTTTGATATCATCAATACAGATGGTGTTCTGGCTCCCCTCTCATTGCTCCAATGTAATATTCCCTTGTTATATATACYGTGTCCCTGAGGTGGTGCTTCTTTACTAGAGCAACTCAGTAAGCCCTGGCTCTCGGAAGATGAAAAACTACAGATGAGTTAAACGTTATGGCTTCATACACAACGTATAGTCAGGGTTCATTATCATCCAGAAGCATGAGACCTACTGAACTGATTTTTTTGTGTATTTGGAAATTTCTTTTGGAAATTCTAAATTTCTTTTAGAAAAGCAGCTGCTGGTGAAACACTTATTTTGGTACCAAAAATAAATGGACAAAGCCATCAGTATGCAAATTTAACAAGATAGATAGTAACCTATCTTGGTTTAAAAACAAACAAACAAAAAAAACCAAGCAAACACAAACCAGTACCTCTTCCTAGACACTTTTTTTCCCCTGATTGTGGCAGAATTTGAACATTAGAAATTAATGACAGCAAAAGGTTAATTTGAAAGTTAAAGTTAATTTGACAAGAGAAGAGACTTCTCTGAATTTTCTTTAATAGAATAGGTGATTGTTAAGCCATCCGTGATGCTAAGGGGAATGAAAAGGAGATATCCAAGTTTCTTTTCTAGGATTGAGGGAACTATGTATGTGATTAATTACTGCATAATGTGTGACTTGCTAATTAGTGTGTGGTGGATTGTATTCTGAATAATCTGTAAATCAATATTTGCTCTATAATGCTAACACAGAAAAACTTTTGAGAGATTTGAAGTATTTTGATACCATTTAAATTATAAATGATTTAAAGTAGATTTATTGAACGCTACAATTTTCTTTTATAAAACATGGTGAAGATCACATTGTGATATGGCTCTATTCTCATTTTGTTTTTCAAACTATACGCCTGAATGTGTTCTAAAAAAAAAAAGTTTTTGTAAAGACTAATAATGATGATAAAAATAAGAATAGAACAATCAGGCGATGTTTGCAACGTTCGCAGCAGATGGTATTGTATTCATTATCTTTGATCTTCAGGTATTTTGTAAACAACTGGAATAGCAAAAGTATTCTGAATTTCATTTATTGCAATTAAACCAAACACTGTCTCTGCCTTCTCCTGCAAGAAGGGCTTTTCTTTGGACCACCTTTACCCTAGKGTTAGATTTTGACAGTTTGTTTCAATCTGAAATATTTGGATGAATGTCTAGAAATATATGAATGTGTGCAGTATTTTATATAAGATTGTAACACAGCTTCCTTTGGCCACATTTATTCTTTCATATTCCCAGTGGGAATACTGTGCCAAATACGTTTTATAGGGTAGTGCTGAAAACTATATCCCATTGGTGCCTGAGTCACTCTTGGATTGAATAATTCATCCAAGCCTTTGTTGTCTTCTGAAACTTCCACTGGATTTGAACAGAGGTAGCTTTAAGTCCCTAAGAGGGTGACCTTGCAGTCTGCAGTCCTGTTTTATCCTATTTCTGGTGCCCCAATACTGAGGATCATTCAGTTCTCACAGGAGGAACCTAGTACCAAAAAATCAAACATAACTTTAAAAAAGAAAATGGTTAAAAGAGAGATATTAGCTAGGGAAAATGTGTGTTATCAGCTGAGATCTGAAAGTAATAAAAAAAAAAATGTGTAGAATAGACGCTGTAGAAGGCAACTAAAACTAGATGAGTGTTATAGTGCCTAATCAAATACTATCTCTGAGACCTCCTGTCTTGAATTTCCCAAACTAATACAGGGCAATTCACACCAAAGGACTAAACTAAAATATTAAGTATTCTCTCTTCTTTCAGAACTATAGTTGATCCTAGTCCCTGAATGTGCAAACAAGCTACTGTATTTGCAGTCAGATTTCTAAAGAGTTAAAGCTTAGGGATATCTGGGAACTATTTCAGAAATCTGTGTTTTTAATAGCCTCTGACTACATCATTCTATGGCAACCTAAAGCAATTTAAAAGATGGGGCTTTTTCGTTTGTTCGTTTGTTTTGTTTGTTTGTTAATCTTTAATTCTGTCTGGGTTCCTTAGAAAAAAAGAACCTTTTAAGATTTGAATAGAAATGTAATATAATATAATATAATATAATATAATATAATATAATATAATATAATAATATTTTGAAAGGAAATAGTAAATCATTTACATAATCTTTCAGGGCACTAATATATTGCATGACATTTAGATTTAACTGTGTGCTTGGGACATGCAAATGTAAAGAATAGTAGGGGAAAGTTAAGGTAGTCACTGGAAACTTTAGTATGAGAAGTTAAATATTGGAAGAACTGATTTAGGGCAAAATATTTCTAATCAGATGCTTTCTTAATGTTTCTGATCAGAAGTGCACTTCTGTGCATTTTTTATATTACATTTTAGAAAAATTCTCTGAGGGAAAACATGGAGCTGTGTGAAGATCCTACAGTAATTAAATGRGTTCTAGTAGAATATTGGCAATTTGCCATGGCACTGATGTAGGCGATGAATGAGAATGAATGACAGATGCGAAAAGATTTTCTGAATTTTCTCTTTTTAAATATAGATTGATATCGAGAAACAAGCATAAGCAGCAGCTGAGAAGCCCATTAAACTCTCTTAGGCTGTTCTTTACTATATACCTTGTTTCTTCCATAATTTTGTGTATGGTGTTTCACAGGCTCAAGGATGAAGTTCCATTCAGTGAAGAATTATTAAMGATAGGATGAAAGGATTCTCAGATTAAAAAATAATGCTTATAACRTCTATCCTGTTTTAGTCTTCATCTCCATCATGCTGACCAATTCCATCATACCAAATGTCTACTTGTACATTACAGTTCACAAAGGAGAAAATTGCGATTTTAAGTGGATAGGCATGGTAGACTTTCTAGACACAAATCTGTGTCATTATATTTATCATTAATTCTCTAAGCTCACTTTTGTCTGAGAAAGAATCTCGGGTTAACTAGCCATTCCTTCGTTCTTGTTCAGAGTGTCCTTTGCTGTTCTTCCCAAGAGGGTTGCATAGGATGATGAAAAAAAGAAAAGGAGATTGAAATAAGGAAACAACAGAGACTAGTGCACAGAAAAGGCAGCAGTGGAAGACACCTAGCTATAGCATTTAGTTGAGACTGAGAAAATGCTAAATTTGCTAAAAGAAGGCATGCATTGGAAGAAAGATAAAAAATTGAGAGTTTCTTTGGAAAAAGGGAAGGAGGGATAGGAAGAGAAGATGGGAAGTTCTGCCTGAATCTGAAAAAAAAAAAAAAAAAAAAGGAAATATATTGGTATTCAAAACAGTAGTTGCTTTCTTTTTTTCCTAAACTTTATTGAACAGGATTTACAATCAGTAATTGACTAATAATCAACTGGAATGGTCTAGAATGACTGTGCGTGCGCTGAAATAGCTCATGGCAACAGCTTTGAATGGACAGGATGGCTTTTCATGGTGGGACTTTTTTTTGTGTTATTTATAATCCTCTCAGTTATCAAAAGAACCTATTTAGCTAGATATTAATTATGGTGAAAGAACAAGAGAAGACCAAAGAAAATGCTTGAAAAAGTAACTTCCARTGGTGAAATGTGATCTCCTAAAAGAATTTGAGTCACTTGGAGATATGGATCTTTTAAATGACATCTGTTTTCTACATTCTGTTTTTGATCGATTATCCCTGGTCAAGGTGTGAGTACTAGTGGAATTCAAAGTATGATACTGTGCACATGAATGATGCATGAGCCTGGTGCATTGACATTTTTTGATTATATTATAAAGTGAATTACTATTTTTTTGTGTGTGTCTAGCAGTTACTATATATTCCTGGTGGTCTTCCGTGAGCTAATATAGTTAAAATAAATAAGAGATGTACATTTTTATCTGAGTGAAAGAGGAAGAAGAGGATGAAAATATAGATACATTATATCTCCTGACATACCACTCTATCTTTTATCTTTGAAAAGAGAGTTTTTTGACTTTTATGAACTTTCAAAGGAATAACTTTTTATGTGGACTTGAAAGTTGCAAAGGCAAGTTGCATTCATGAGGCTATAGAAATTCTGATTCTGTTCTGTGAACACCTGGGAAACCTTAGTATAGCTTACAGACTTCTGTAGTCCTTAAGGTGAAAATACCACTTGCAGTTGGATGTTAAAAGAAAGTTGTTATTTAGTTAACTAAGCATTTTAAATGCTATCTTTACTCTCAAATCATCTTATTTTCATTGTGGTACTCGGAACAGGTGCAKACAAAATCTCCTTAAATATATATACTTACGTATATATTTTCAATTACTTACACTGTTTACAAAGAATTTCTATAGTGAGAAGAATTTTACAGTTTCTTCATATAATATGCAAAAAAAAAAAAGCAGATCCAGTGAATATTAAGATGTGGATGAAGCAATTGTTACTAGCTGCTTTCAACTGGATTTATTCTTGAGCTGGTATGTTTCTGGAGCCCTTCTTTTTCCCCRTGGGAGATGCAACATGGACAAATGCCTTTTCATTCACAAATCTATAATTAAATTCAAATAACTCATTTGCCAAAATAAAAATTTTGACAGCTATATRTTTTCTGTCAGTGAATGGCTTTACTGGTTTTTTTCCAGTACGTTAGTTTCAAGGAGTTACACTTTTCTAAAGATA